GTGATGTCTGTTACGCTGACTTTTCACCGCGTAACAGACAGCGCAATTTCGCAATTTACAATTAATTGAAAAGTAGAGCAACAAATCATTAGAAAGCATCATAATACGTAACCCTTTGAAGATTAATGCGAGACAGTTCGAGTGATTATCATTTCTACCAAAAATATGGCCGAGGAATGTCTGTTACGGCGACAAAACTATTACATTTATTGTGAAACCACCCTAATGAGTAGATTTCAGACTTTTTTGACGTCCTCATCGTGTTCTTCGGCGGTTCTACATTTCAATGGTATCTCTTGTGTGGAACAATTAGTTTTTACGTCCGGACAAGTAGGCACTCATCCCACCTAGCGTCGAATTATCCACTTATCTTGACTTTTGGGCGGCTTTACTCCTGTTAAGCCTACTCATTTAGATCGCGTTCAACAGAAAGGAACCAAGCCACATCAGCTATTTCCAAATTCAACCGGGCAATTTAATTTTTTACGAAAGAACGTTGATTTGTGCGGATTCCTTTGAAAATTTTGAGGAATTCGCTTCGCACTGTGCAGGAAGCTCACTGTTTACACATAAATCCGCACAACCGCTTTCATGTAAACAAGTAAATTGCCGAATTAAATGGCGATAGCTGATGTGGCTTGGTTCTTTTCTGCTCAACGCGGTGCATTTATCTGTATCTCCGGTGTGCAACAGACCCATTGCACCGCTCGGATGCAATTGAGCCCTGTGTGTTGGAGTTTGTCTCGCGGCAGGTCTGACAAGCAGATATTGGTTTTGTGGTTTGATGAATGTGAGCGGGTCCGTAGCGTCTTAATCGATGTGCAACGGTGGAGAAAGGAAATTTGATGCGGTCCATTTGAGAATCTACTGCGACATGATGAATGGAGTCGAGCTCCGACCATGTCAGCCATTGAACAGGTAGCTCGATAAGCTCTGTGCTTTTGGTTTCCCTCCGTTTCGTATGATTTTCCTCCAGTTGGTGCGAATAATGTCGCAACATGATTAGCTTTCTAAAAAGCTGAAATTTGAAAAACTCAATCCAGTTAACAAACGATTTTTTTTTTTTTTTTTTTTTTTTTTTTTTTTTTTTTATTTATTTTAATTTAGTCTATGAAAGTTAGGTTTAGGCTACATTTGTACAATATGTGGTGATAGATGAGAGAATGTAATTTCAAAAACGGCGGTCTTGAGCTGGTAGAACGTTTTTCCTTCCAATTTTTTGCAAATGATACGGTATCGCTGCTAGGTAATTTTCATGACATTTTAATAAATAAATGTGACAAATAAATTTTTTTTGCCGCTGATTATTAAATCTTATCGACATTTTTTGAAAAAATCAAATCGTTACCTGATTTTCTCTTCTAGAGTCACCATCCTTGGTCCCTAATCGAATTCGAAATGCAAATACCTCAGATAGTGGTCCTACGGTCCTACAGCCTGAAAGACTATACCTACCTGGTACCTCGGTACCAGTTACCAAGTAGCCAGGTACCAAGTACCAAGTAGGTAAAGTCTTTCAGACTGTAGGACCGTAGGACCACTATCTGAGGTATCTGCATTTCGAATTCGATTAGGGACCAAGAATGGTGACTTTAGAGAAGGAAATCAGGTAACGATTTGATTTTTTCAAAAAATGTCGATAATATTTAATAATCAGCGGCAAAAAAATTTATTTGTCACATTTATTTATTGAAATGTCATGTAAATAACCTAAAAGCTATACTGTGTCATTTAAAACAATTTTTCTGTGTAAGTACCTATGCACTTTTTGCTTCCTGTCATTTTAAGGAAGGGTAAGGTTTCTCTAAGATAAACATCCAAACTCTTTCAAATACGTATGAAAATCCTTGACCCAAAAGGCTTCGGATCATGGTCAAAACTGATGAGTCCCTTCTCATCTGCAGTGATTAGAAAACTTTCCTATATGTTTTCGAATTTTCCCTCAGCGCAATCACTGTTGCCATATTTCTATTGCTTCTAATTTTGGACAGTAATTCGAAGTTCGGACCTTGTTTGAGGGTTCAATGCAGTCCCATCTCATTAATCTTCAATTTATATTCAGCCGCCAAAACGATTGAATTCGCGATAATGATCCATGTCGCATAACTTTTCACCACCACTTGAGAGGTGAACAGTGACGATTCTTGAAAATTGGCACCACTGTTTTTCCTCCATTTAAATTTATGCAAAACAATCGATTTTTGGTGTGGCAGCTTGTCTCGCTTAAAATCGATATTTTTAATGGATTTAAATGGAGGAAAAACAGTGTTGCCAGCCTGTAAAATCGCCACTGGAGTGAATCCACCAAACATCGACATCAATCGCAAAAATTCTATTTTACTCGAATTTTTCTCCGCGATGCCCCCCCCCCCCCCCCAAAAAAAAGCAAAAAAAACAAAAAAACAAAACAGAGTAAATCACTTGAGAGACAAGGAAACTCTTCATGAACTCTCTGGATGACGCGATAAAGGTTGATGGGAGAAATTGAGTCTCGCCTGGGCGGGCTTTTCGCCGGGAGATGGAACTGATGGGGTTCCCAGCACCTGTGCCCCTGTCCATTTTGACGTGTGCCGTGATTGAACATTTCCAACGCCCACGTTGGCAGCATTGACGCCATTCATCCCCCGTTCCCAGCAGGGATTTACCTTGATTGTAAGCCCACAAGGAAGTTGCTAGGAACAACTTAGCGCTTCTTTCGAGTTGACCCTGACTTTCTCCTTTCACGGAGTATTCTTGGTGACGTCAAAAGTGTGGTCGCTCAAGCAAAAATGGACATTGGTACAGGGCAGCAAAGTTTTCAAGAGAATTTGCAGGTATCTGAAATTTGATGAATTTCGTGTTTAAGTGGAAACCACTGAGTGAATAGAACACGAGGATACCATTGGTTCATGAATTAAACAATTATTAGAGAAGATATGACAAAATGATCTAACCTCAGAAGACAGATAAATTTAACATTTGAAAGTTACCGGTAACAGCGAAATCTCGAATGATTTTGTTCTTCTTCTCAAGGACTGGTAGGATCGCTGAAATACGAGTGGTAAATGAAAAACCAAACGTTTCTCGAAAACACTCAGGATATCGATGTTTCTTATATTGTGTCTCGAAGTTCAAATAATGCAGCGCTAAAGTAGTGTCTAATGCATTTCCAATTCTGTGCGAGTAGATTGTTGATACAAGAAACTTGGAGATAAGAATTGAGGAGATGCAGGGTGAGTACTCAAAGAGTTTCGAGACTTTGGCGCTGTTGTCAGAATTTTCCACCCCCATAGAAGAATTGGGAAGTGTTAAACAAGAGAAGACGGCTCCCTTTCGCTTACCTTGTCTCTGTCAAAAAAACTTGTTCAGCGTGACTGTGAGGCACACAATTGTAGAAATGCCTTACAGTAATGCTAATTCCATTATAGTGGTATAAATGTTCAAAAATCGCCCAACAGTGCCATAATTTCACAGTTTTTGCGAGAATAGAATGTGAGATACGACAACATTTTCGTTACAATCTCATCATCACTTTGATTTAAAATGAGGGAACATCTTTTCCGCACAAGTCTTAAAATTTTAGAATTTCATGAAGGTAAAAGTTAGCTCACTTGTGATGACTTTTAGTTAATTGTAGATGCGCGTTTCGGGTAGGTGACTTATCATTGGTGCTACTCAATTCTTTTTTTGTATCCCTTAAATTTTTTTAAAAAATTGAATGTTGAAATTTTGAAATTTAAAAATCGGTTTTTCTAGTTTCCTGTCTCACACTCAAAGTCGATTTTCGTTGTTTTGTTGTCATTTTATGAAATGAAAATTTATTTTCTTTGAAAAAATATTCATACTTGAAAAAATGTGTGTCCATCCGTCCGGCGTCCCCTTAATCTGCGTTCAATTTCATTCAAAATTTGCAGGAAAGACCATACCTAGGGTCTCCTCTTGCACGTCAAATGATTTTTTTCCTCCGTGCACAATGTTGCACTATATTTATTGTCTAAGCTCTCCAGACGCTGTATTTTCCTCCGAGTGTCCCAAATCTTACATATCTCAAGAGGAGACACTTGAAAGCCGTCAGTTGAATTTGCCGGCTCCTAGACAGCGGAGAGTGGGATGGCGGTTGTTAAATTGTCGGGCGAATCGAAGTCATGTCGGTTCCCTCATTTCGGCGAATTAGCCTGCGACGATCGCGATAGCCCGCCCGGGCATTAGTCAGACGCGAGGATCCCTTTAATTAAATTTCGCTCGGGAAACGGAAAACGGAAAACGGGAACGTATTCTCGACGAAATAAAAACGGCAGCTCGGCCCGGCCAAGACAGCGCTCTCGTCCTCGCGACAAGTACTTTATTCTCCATTGCCGATCTCGCCGCGCCGTGCCAGATCGCGCATGCAGCGACTCCGCGCCAGTACCGCTTGTTGCATCTCTCGTATCTGAAGGCGAAAATTGAATCGCTCAGTTACACAAGGGCCCAAGCGCCAAATGTACAAGTACGAAAAAATCAATAATGAAATCAAATAAATTAATTCATAGCTTTATTTTTTTTTTTCCTTTTTAGCTCTCGGATATATGAGGGGTCAATTAAAACTGTTATCGCCATTTTTCTCGAATTCTCATTTTTGGCGCTTGAGCCCTCTCTCCGGAACATTTACTAATTTCTCCGGAGAGAAAATAATTCTCTCCCTAGCAATAACTTTTCGTTCCGAAGAGAAAATATTTTTCTCCGGAACACTAAATAATTTCTCCGCAGAGAAAATAATTGTCTCCCCAAAGAAAATAATTTTCTCCCCCAAAAAAAATTAAAATTTATTTTGTCGTTTTTTTCTGCAACTGAAAGTGAGTTGGTAACAGCTGGAAACGTCCTGCCTTTTAGTGATTTTCAATTTTTAACCTTGTTTTACCTATGTTTTAATTGCCTCCCGATTTTTTCGTATATTGGGGCTATGTTTTTTGGGCTATGCCTCTAAGAAAAATGTATGAATTGAAGGAGTTGAGAGTGATGAGGTGACTAAATTTGTGTTGCAGGTAAGGCGGTGCCATTTGTGGAGCTGACGGTGGCGCATGCATCTGTGCTGACGATCCTGGCCATCAGCTTCGAGAGGTACTACGCCATCTGCGAACCCCTCAAAGCCGGCTACGTCTGCACGAAAACCAGGGCTCTTATAATCTGCCTCCTGGCTTGGGCACTTGCCGCTCTCTTCACTAGGTAAGTCAATAAATTAACTCCCTTCTGTGGGCCGCATTCATGTCACCTGAGAATTGTTCCCTCAGAGAAGCTGTATCTTAGGTACCCCGCACTCAGAATCTAAGCAAATCTAAACATAAAGTCATTTTATAATTAAAATAATTATTCATTACAAATAACTAATAAATTAACTCATTAAAATATTCAATTTTAATTGAAAAAAAGTTAATTTTATTATACTTTGTTTTTTGGTCCAAGAGGTGATTAAAACTACCCCGGACGTCCGCGGCATTATTTTTTTTCCAGCTCCGGTTTCCCATTTTATTATGTTAGTTTTCGTCTAAAGGTAAATTCGGAAGTCAGCGCTCCCTTGCACCCAATGATAATTCATGAGCCACTTCTCGAACAAAAATTCAAATAAAAGTCACGTAATGATGACTGATGAATGTCGGGATGGGCGCCTCGCTAGGCGAGTTTTCGCGACTAAAGATAGGGTTGCTAAACCACTTTTTCAACTCTTTGGTCATCAGTCATCATGAGGCGAATCTGAGCGTTGATTTCCGAAAGTAAATCCTACACTATAGGGAAGATAGCAGTTTGGGGTCTCTAAGATATATTGTCTCTGATTTCGATTTGCAATATAAGCTTCGTTAAATTAAGCTTTATGTGAAGTACACACGTTGAAAATTGGGACCATTAGTTGAAAGTCAACAGTTGTAATTTGATCAATTTAATTCTTTTTCATTATAAAAGTACCAAGTTTATTCGAATAGTTCAGGTCTACTTGTAATTGTTGTACCTTCACCAGTCGCTAAAAAATTCCCAAATATTGCAAACAGGGAATCTCCAATCAATGTACCGATGACCCCTTTTTCCAGATCCTGTATTTTCAGCGTGTGGACCTGGCTTTAGAGAAGTCAAAATAAACTACTAGACATGGTAAAAATGAAATCTCGCGAATTATGTTTTTTTAGCAAAGCACTCAGAACGCGTCAAGCATTTGTTAGGTTCAAAATTAACTATAAATAAGATATGAACGTTTGAAAAATTAGTGATTTCAAAATCCCCGTTCAGAAAAGAACTAAAATCAATGAAAAGTCAAATCAGGTACCGTATGAGCTTATCATTCGATGAATACTAATAATGTACATTTGAAAAAAATCATTTCTACACTAATCTACAGTATTTGTAAACTTGTCGATGAATGAGAGGTTTGAATTTATAAACCTTTCCATCGTATTCTAAGTGAGCTTCTGATGATAAAACATATTTCATTATGCTCGACCGTCAAGTCCGTCTAGTTTTTATGAACGCGGTCATTACACTGAATCAAACAGAGGTATTGCTATTCCCATCATGAAAATACAAGAAATTAAGAGGAGTTGCCTGACTAATCGCACATTCTTTCCGCTCAAACATTCAAAGCTAAGAAAAAACATGTTAGTTTTGAAAGTTCATCTGTGACATTATCTTTGCGGAGGAATAGAACTTTCAAACCTCACTTTCCGAAATTCAACTTTATTCGCTTGATTCCTATTTGCTGATCTCAGTATAGATTGTCAAATTCAAAAGAGTTGCTTGTAAGTGCCTGGGTATTTTCCTTCTCAATAGTCTCAGGCATTCAGACTTCTATTCGGTGCAAAGAATGCCACCGCACCGAATGCCACAGTGCAACCAATGCATATTCCGCCCACCCACCATCATTCTCTCTGGGACGACTGAATTATTGTTGTCCGCTCTGATGTCTTAAAAGTTGGACTACATTTTGCAATTTGGAACTATAAATTCTAGCCCGGTTTAAAAACAACGTATGTGCCATTAGTTTCCCTTTGCAAATAAGTGTTTTTCCAGAGGAGCCAGAATTTACAGTTCCAAATTGCAAAATGCAGTCCAATTGTAAATCGGTGTGGTCTGTTTGAGCTCGCGGACCTTTTAATCATCTAGTTGAAAATGGAAGTTGAATCAAGTCACCAAAGATTTTAAAAAATGATGTCATTATGGGTGCAATGTCGATGCAACAATTGTGTATTTTGTTTCTGCACACGGCATTCATTTCTATAGATTAATTTTCCTTAAATTGCACTATTTGGCAACGATTACACTTACGAAAAATACCGTTATCAATTTTTTACATGATATTACATGAGTTTATTGCAAATTAAATGGAGGTTAAATAGAAATCCCAGAGAGAGTAACATATGGGGAATTTCAATCGAATTAGATGAGAAATTGCCGCCCAAAACTTGCTTTTCATAATTATCTCTTTCAAAATTCTCTAATCGTTCTACATTATAGCAACGACGGCATAAAAATCTAATGACTCGACGAATTCCGTCATCATAAGCGGTAAAAATTGAAGGAGCCGTGGCTTTCATGATACCTACAACGCAATGATACAACTATTCGTACTCGAGGGATGTCCGCGTTGCATACACAGATAATTGAAGGGGTTCTAGCTTTCTTAATCATAAAGTTTGGCTGCAAGTATCTAGAGAAATGTTTGTGTTGTACTTACAAGTACTTTGACATTTCTCATTTTTAATAATTCGCGGAAACGACAAATGTAATGATATTGTGAAAGTGTTTCTGATGAAACATTTTTCAGAAACATTCTGAAGTGTTTGATAGGAGAGGAAATCGAAATTTTAACATTCCCTTAAGAATTACCGTCTGAATACTCTATCTTTCTGTTGATTTCGTTTTTGAAAATACTAATCTTTTTTCGAGAAGAGGGGTTTAGGACACTCCCACAGTGTTTACAATTTTACCTAAATGCTTTGAGAAATAGTGCCTAAAAACTTAATATGTGGGATAAATTTCTTGTATTTTCATATTTTCAAGTCTGCATGAACCATGAAAAAAGCATCTATAGCCATGTCTTGTCATTTGTTTAAATGATAAAAATAATACAATTAAAAAGAAAATTGTACGTCTCGTGAAGTCGGCACACGCGAGTATTTTAAACAACTCCCTTTCATTTGAATGAAGGTTGCTCAAAGATACAAAAGTCAACATTGGAAATCAGAGAAAATACAAAAACGATGCCACAAGACAGTAATTAACATATTATTACGTTTATTATTTTGAATGTCAAGTTTTATATTTCTTGACGTCATTGTAATATAACTTTAAATTTCACCTCTAGTGTAGGTTACTCTCCTCCAACTCTCGCACTTTCTTCTCTCGCTCTTTCCTTCTAAATCATCACTCTATTCTCCCCGTCTTTTTACTTCATTTCCAAATTCAATCGTAATCTCATTTCTATTCGTCAAACTACTGGAGGCTCATATCCTGGGAATTGTAATAGTTGGTTAAGGCCGTTAAGAACTTTCAAGACCTTCCGCGATGCATCAAAACGCTTACCCTTAAACTACAAGCTACACATCATTGCTTCCTCTCAAAACTCCTTCAATTTCGTCGGGTAGGCAATTTGATCTCCCGAGAGTTGAAATAGTTGCTCGATGTATAAGGGGACTCTAAAAGGACGCCCGACGTGATTATACCAGAACTTTCATCCCCCTGCGGGCCGATTATTGAAATTGATAGACAAAGCTGTAGACAAAGAATACAAAAAGGATATGGAGGGATCCTATTGGTGTAAGCGGGTGGTTGCAATGGACAAAGGAGGTAGGTAATAGACTAACTAACAGCAACCCACGAGAGAACCCATAGTTAGTCCATCATTTTCTCCCTTAGTCTATAGGAACCAGTGAACCACCCTTTTCGACCAAAAGGTTAGCTTCATAATTCCTAAGTCCTCTTTGTCTTTCGCTGTGTCTATCAATTTCCAAAATCAGTCCGCTGGAGCATCACGTATTTTATGATTGGTCCCTTGGAAGAAATTGGGAGAAGCCCGAATGATCTAATGCTGTTCTTCCTGAGTTCGAATCCGAGTGAATTCTAACTCTCCCTTACGCCCTTTTTCCGCCGTTTCGGCAATTCTCAAGATCCTTTCGCGGGTCTCTCACGAATGATTAAAATTTAAAGCCGACAGGAAGAATTAGCGCCGAGTTTTGATTTTTTCCGTGCGATGCGATGACACCAAGTGACAAGTAACCTCGTCGGGAGGGGGAGAGAAAATAAATTAGGTGAAGAGGAGCGGAAGATAGCGATTTATTTATTTACACGCTAAAAAAACTAAGTAACAAGGCTCCGAAGAATGGGACGAGGGGCGGAGGAAGGCGCGGAAAAGAGAAATGATGAAAGCTCGCGAGCCATTATTAGAATGAAAAATGCGAGGGCATTAACAAAGCTTGCATATTGACTCCTTTGCGAGGGCTTGTAAACGACGTCATTGGAGCTTCCTCAGTTTCGCTCTTGATGCAACGCTATGACGTAAAGGGAGTTGTGTGCTGCCGTGGTAAGGAATAACGCCGTTTGAGCCTTTGGAAGTCGCCAAATTTATTTAGTAAAATCACGGATTTTCGAGAAAATCTATGCATATTTGCATATTTCCCCCTCCCCCTAATTTTTCAAAGATTTTTGCTCGTAATTTGATTCAAAGTTCCTGAACATTATTTTACGGAACAATATTCATGACTTTCCTCAAAATGTAAATATTTTCTTAGAGGATATTTGGCAACGTTCGAATTTTCATACGCCGTTCAGCCTTAGTACCGTAGCATATCAATGACCAAAGTGTGAAACCACGTATCTCAGTGCAAAAGTTGTGAAACCGGGGAGGCCCATCCGTGTCAAATTCTGCATTTGCCATGGTATATTTCTCTAAGCGGAAATCTCAAAAATACACGACTTTCTTTCGCAAAATGTGAAATTAAGAGAGAATTTTTGACTCTCTCAATGTACTCTTCATAATTTATGTTTCTTATGCCATGAAGGAGCATCCTTTTTTTCGTGCTAAGGAAAAACGCCGTATGAGTATTTAAGAGTTGCCAAATTTCCTCCAGTAAAATTGTCATTTTTAAGGAGAGTTAAGAACGTTTTTCTCTCACAGATATTTTTGATTCGACTGCGACTAAAATCCTCCGAAAAACGAGAGAAAAAATATTCACAAATTTCTC